TCTGATATCTGTTTTGTGGGCATTAATCCTTTGGCGAAGTGTCTGAGACGTTTGTCCAATGTACATAGCAGACGGACACTTTCGGCACATGATAGCATAAATTATATTTCTGGATGTACAGGAATATGTGTTCTTGATCTTATAACTCACTTGGTTAGGTCCAATAATGGTATCAGCAGAATGAATATGTGGACAAAGCTGGCAACGGGGTTTGTTGCAAGGGAAGGTTCCAGGGTTGGTATTAGTGTGGTATGTCCTGTGGTTGTTGGTAAGAATCATCTTGAGGTTAGGTGGTTGTCTATAGGAGACTATGGGTCTGTCTCCCAGAGCGGCTTTGTTTTTCTGGCTGAGTGCTGCTGACATTAAAAATTCTCAAGTAAATTTAAATAGTTTTTTTTTTTGTTTGTTTGTTTTTTTTTTGTTTTTTTTGTTTTTTTAAAGGGAAGGGTCTTGGATATGTAGCAGGCAGCTGGGTTGCTGCACCAGCACAGAGCTCCATTGATGTTAAAGCATCTTCACTGAGCATGCAGTGATCTCCTGCATGCCATCATTTATAGGTTAGGAGCCCAAGTCAGTTGCTCCATTAACAACCAGCAAAATTGTGGCTATTAGATATATGCTGATAGCACAGCTCTTTCCTCTTTCTGATTCCTAACATGCCACCCAACTGAGGGATGGCAAGAGGAGAGGTGACTACATCTGAGGAGAGAGGAAGGAGGAAGCACAGTAATGCTTTTTTTCCCATGGATGTGCCACTCCATAGATCGTTACCTTTGCTAGCAGCCAGTCAAATCTCAGTTGCTCTGGACAGTCGTCTGTGCTAATTACAGGACAACGAGCATGAAAGGATCCCTTTGGTGGCTATTAACAAGCTTCATTGTACGCACACAGGCATGCACATGCAGCACTCTGCACACTAACATTTACTATTCGTCAAGCCAGGCCTGCTTTTGTGTGGTTAATAAGTACAAAAATGCAATCGCAATGACTACACCTGGACGGGTGGGGCAGAAAGCAGGGGAATGGCAATGCTGGAATAGATAACCTTACCATATTTGTCTTCATTTTCTTTTATGTGCTGTAAAGACAACATCCTATGTCAAGCCCCCGGGCTTTCACAGGCCACTCTTGGTGCTGTTCAGTGACGCACTAGTGTATTGCATGGGATTGGTCTGTAGCTTTGGTAAGGTGACTAAATGCCGATTTACACTGTGCAATCACATCAGAGGATGGCCTGAATCAGAGCTGCGTGGCGCCTCAGTCAGGGAACTTTGGCCTCTTCAATCCAGATTAGGCCTCAGCGCAGTGTAAGCACCAGGAAGAATCAAGAGTTCAGCCTGACTGAGAAAAAGGCACCAAGTGGAGGCAGAGGCAGCAGAAGCCTGGATGGGTTTAATCCTGTTTCTGTGAGGGAGAGGAGGGGCTAGTGGTTAGAGCAGGGGGGACTGGGTACCAGTATTCCTGGGTTCCATCTCCAGCTGTGCTATGATTCACTGTGCAACGGCGGGAGTTGGAATGAGGTTAATGACTTAACCATGTGCTCAGATTCGTGGTGTAATAGTGTGGCTGATTAACTCATAAGCAAAAGCGTGTAGGTTAATGCTATAGACTAGGTCTCCCTGCAGTTGGGCAGGGGGGCAAAGCGCCTTGTTTAATGGGGATTTTTCTCTGCAGCTCAAAGAGAAACGTGGCTGGACTCTGAACAGTGCGGGCTACTTGCTGGGCCCCAGTGAGTCTCCCCCCTCCCCCGCCAGCAGAGAACCCAGGGGTCCTGTTGCACCCCTCCCCTGCCAGGAGAGAACCCGGGGTCCTGGCTCCCCGCCCCCCTCACTCTCTCTCTCCCCGCAGATGCCCACCGCCCGCTGATGGACAAGGGGGCCTTGGCCGGGAAGCGGGAGGCTGTGGAGGAGCAGATGCAGCTGGGAGCAGAGTTTGAGGGTGAGTCCTGGCCCCAGTCCCCTCAGGTTCCCTCTCTGCACCCCCTTCACCTGCCCCTTTCTCCTCCAGGTGCCCCGGCTGAGCGCGGCTTCCAGCCCCTGCTGGATTTCCAGCCCTCCCTGTGTCTTCCAGGTGAGTGCCAGGGCCAGAGGGAGCGGAGCGGAGTGGGGCGGGAGGGGTGTAG